AGCACTGGGTGTTGTATGGAAACCAATTTGACAATGAACTTCATGCATTGAAAGAAAATAAAAGGCAAAATTAAAAAAAAAATAGACTCTGACACTTTAATACTTACACTTGTACAGCCTTTCCATGGGTGTTTTGGGGAAATGACTCAATTTTAGGATAAAGACAACTTTAAAGACTTTCCTTGAGCTTGCCATACAACTGTAGAGTTTAGTATGTGTTGGAGGTGGTGGTGAACACCCTCCTGTGGTAGGAAGCTTCTAAAACGACCCCCGGTGAGGCCCACCTCCTGGTGTTCACGCCCTTTTACAATCCCCTCCTCTGTGGAGGCTGGGCCCAGGGACTTGATTCTTATGAAGAGAATACAGCAAAAGTGATGGGAATCTCACTTCCATGATTAGGTTTAAAAAGACGGTGACTTCTGTCTTGCTAGCAGTCTCTGGCTCTTGCTGGCACCCTCTCTCTTTTGCCTTTTCAACTTGTAGGCTCTGATGAAGCAAACCGCCATGTTGGAAAGGTCCACATGGCAAGGAACTGAGGGCAGACTCTGGCCAACAGCCAGTGAGGAGCAGGGACCCTCAGTTCAGCAGTTTGTGAGGAACTGAGTCCTACCAACAATCTCTGAGTGAACTTGGAAGCACATCCTGCCCCAATTAAACCTTGAGATGCTGCCCACAGCCCAAGATGACACCTAGACTGCAGCCTCTGGAGAGATCCCGAAGGAGAGACACCCAGCTAGGCCATGTCTATATTTCTGATCCACAGAAACTGTGAGATAAAATATGTTTAAGCAGCTAAGTTTGGGGGTAATGTGTTACACAGCAATAGATAAACTCTCCTCCCTTTTTACCCCATCTTCCAAAGTTTATGTGGGTCTTTCTCCACGTCATTCTGGATTCCCATAGATGCGAACATGTTTCTGCCAGAAGGGACAAACAACTGCTCGAAGTGTACAGATATAACATTATTGTTGGAGATCTGACCCTAGTCTCTGAATTATTCCTTCAAAACACCTTTTCCATATCTTTATTCCTCCCCCCTCCCCTTAATCTTAATATTCCTCATACGTGGCTTCTTCAGTCAGTCACAAAAATAAGGTGTTTGGCCACCTGAGAAACCTTGCATATGCTATGCAATCTGCCTTAACTTTGTTTTTTCATAATAAAATCTTTCAACCCAAGACCCTTTTAATTTCTGATTATGAATGTTTATATAAAGAGCCTAAAGGCTATAACCATGAGAGAGAAATTACCAAATTTGGTCTTAATATGAGTATTGTTTAAGTCACTATTATTAATCATGAGTCCTGGGAAAAGCAAGTAGTTGACTTACAAGAATATGCTTTGTTTAAAATTCTACTTAAATGTTGCTTTCCATCTGCTTTTTGTAAGACTAAGTTTTGAAAGTTGGAGTGGTAAGAGATTTTAATCAAAATTGTGTGGAACTATGAGTAATGCCACTGCTTAAAAGCTTCATAAGTTTACTATTCTTTCCTAGCAAAGTCCTGCCAAGCAGGACTGCTGTGCCTCAGGGAATGACCCCCAAATCTGTGAGGAAGAGTTGATAACAAATGAGAAGTGGTGTAACACATCAATTTGATCATTTACTGCTTCTAACTGAGCAAACAACTTCTGATGATTCCCATATAATAAGAGACATTTTAGAGTTGGCAAATTCCATATTTTTATGTTTTTTAAAATACAGTTGTTTTGTTTTTGTTTTTGTTTTGTTTTGTTTTATGGTTTCCGCCTCAGAAAACGTCAAGACGCCTGGGTGGCTCAGTCGGTTAAGGGTCCAACTTCGGCTCCAGTCATGGTGATCTCACGGTTTGTGAGTTCGAGCCCCGCCCGCGTTGGGCTCTCTGCTATCAGCACAGAGCCCTCTTCAGATCCTCTGTTCCCTCCCCCCCATCTCTCTGTTCCTCCCTTGCTTGCACTCTCTCAAAAATAAATAAAAACATTATTTAAAAAAAACTGTCAATGTCACTGACTTTTTTGTTTTCATCACCTAGTCTTGGTTGTATGGTAAATGTTTGTCTCCCTCCATTTTCACGGAGTATCTCCAGGTTCACCCCAGGCCTTCAGACAGGTAATCTGGCTAAGGCCTTGGATCTTCAGGTGAGGTCGGATCCCTCTGTTTCCATGAAGTCCATGCTAATTGGCCACATAGAAACAGGTAGAGCTTCAAACCTCTGGCTTAAGTGGGTTCTAGGCCAGGGTTCCAACTGTCTCAACTCAGACACACGGTCATACACAAGAGCACAAAGAACCCTCTTCGCACCCATGCCCCCAGCGCTGCCAAGAGATTTATCCCCCGACACACAGCCTTCCCCACAGCTGACAACAGCGGCCTGTGCAACCTCGTCGTCTTTTTACATATGGAAACAAAGAAAGATAATTCTAGAAAAAGAGAAAAGAATAATTTTGGCCTGGTGGTTAATTTGAATTCTGTGATAGTTGTAACCCATCACTAGGTAATCCTAGGTTCATCAAATCTAAAATGCTAGATCAACAATGCCCCAGTGGCTTCTTGTGTTGTTTTGCTACGTTATCCAAAAAGTCCAATGCCTAACCAAAGGCCCCATGACAGTGTTTGGCAAGCTTCATTCATTATGGCACAGTACCTATACAGACAATGGTTTTCTTAAAAAGAACCTTCATATCTTACTAGGGAACAATCACCCCCTTTATTTCAAATTAGGTTAGTTCCTAGTCTGGAGTTTGGATTCTTTTGTTGAGAGGATTCTCCACCTCTGTCATCTAGTAATACTGATATGCATTATGACAACTCAGCTTCCAACTTCTACTTTTCATGTTTGCTAAAAAAAAAAAAAAAAAAAAAAAAAAAAA